AACGCGTTTATGTATGAGGGTGTTGTAGCTTTAGAATTGAAGCATGCGAAAGAAAGCATGCGACGGATGTTGTTTGCTTAATTGTGACTTTTTTCCTGAAAATGAATAAAAGTTAGTCAAATCCCCCTAATTTCCCAACAGCACTGCGCTCGCGAATCTACCTACCACATAGAGAGTGTGGCAATGCACCTCAAAAATTAGAGATATATCCAGCAGTAGACTGTTGTGGCTGTAATATAGCGTTAGTAGCAGCATTATTATTAAAGGCCAAACTGGTTCATATTTCAACAAATAAGTATTTCTTGGAGAAGTTGCCCAGTTTCATGAGCCGACTCATACATTTCGCGGGCACCAGCTAGTTTTATCAATAATTTTATTCACCATTAAAAGCTTTTCGTCTTAGCTTATTTAAATTAAATTGCTCTTATATAGGGTGTCCGCATAAACACGGCGACACACATTACGTACTCTGGCTGTGTATAGGGTGCTCCAAAATATACATGGTTATAAGCTATTAGCAAATCGTGTTAAGTATAAGGGTGAGATCAATGTCATGAGCGGAGCGTGTCATCTGCTTATGTGATTATTTACAGACTTGTGAAATGGGATATGATAATGATAAAGCAACTAGTGCCATGGTACTATCTACTATAGATAATAGTGAGTGTTATTGGGTAATTTGACGACTCGGAGTCCTACACGATCAAGAGAGACCTTAAGATACAAAAATATGTTCATTTGGTTGTTTGTCGTGAATGAATCGTAGACGGAATTCATAACATGACCTACCTATGAAACATAATTCAGTTTTTCTTTTTCTACTTGCTTTGCCGTATCCTCATGTCATGACTGAAGGACGATACTTTTCTGGCCTATATTCGTACTTTTTTAATGTTTTCTTTTCAGTTTATTTCTCCGCTCCGCTCGCCAGAATAAACACTGCCTTATATAAAGAGTCTGCTTATCGTCTAAGTTAGGTACACATTTTGGGTTTGCCTTCGGTCTAGAGTACCTAATATCGTTCGTACAAGGTTGCTGAGTGTGGGCTGACGCCGTTTTGTACCTACTTGCCACGTTGAAAGTACAGATAAACAGTGTTGATTTATTTAGGTAAGACATACTTACTTATAAAATCCATTACTGACGGAGGTTGATTGCGTAAAATCAATTCAATATAACTGAAATGCTAGGAAAATTTAAATAATAAGCCTTGACAATATTTCCTTTTAGTAACAATGGGTTAATCGGGTCGTTGAACGACTTGTTTTCCAGCTCGAAAAAGAACTAGAAGTAACAATATTCCGAGTATTTCTGTTTTTGTCATAGAATAAGTAAAAGATTGGCGGATTCTTTTCAGTTTAACTTTTACGTATATACCTATACAAAAAACCATTCAAGTTTTACAGTTACGCGTCGTTTTCTATCTATGAGTTACTCGTATAAAGCGATTACAGCATCTCAAAGTTAAGCACAGAACACCCCAAATTAAAACTGCCTTCAACGGTCCCAATAGAAAATCCCGGCTGAATACAAACGATGTCTTTGAGAAGTCTCGATCCACCTATCGTGTAATACATCGGCAGTAAAACAGATATAACTGCCTTCAAACATGGCGCCTCTAATTGGCAGTCAACCTTCGTCTTAGAGATAACATCGTGTATTCCAATCCTCCATGAGGAAGGAATATTCGAGTTGCACAAGATATATACGATTGGTAGATACCGTTGTGGTTGTAAGATTCATATGAGTAGGTTAGTATAAGAATCATTTGAAAGATCAGCACTATCGCGAGTATTCCTATAAATTTTTGAAACCTTTGTTAAAAACAAAAATGTAAGGGGTTTTGGTGCTGTCAATAAGGTCGACCGAAAGCTTCTTGTTTTCAGGTCTGCAAGTCTGTATGTGTGTATTTCTGTTGCAAATCGTACATAAAGTCTATGGCAACTTATTCACCTATAATAAGGGACCAACTTATACTTGTTTTTCTTGTAAAATCCAGTACCTACCTATAAGTTGGTCCCTTAAAAGGGTAAGTAGAATTTGTGGCGATAGATATACAATCTAGGCGATATTTCATATTAAACAATCGTTTTAAATTAAGTAGTTACAGGTACCTGATTTGAATTTCAATCGTGAACTTTCATGCAAAATTAAATGAAATTCTTTGCTCAATGCAAACTTCTGAATGCAATCATTAAGAAAACCGACAGTTAATTCTCAAAGTGCTGGGAGAGAGGCAAAAAGATTAAAAATAGCGAGTGGATTTTAAAATAAGTTCTCAAAGCTGTGTAACTTTCGAAATATTTCACTGAGAATGTTTCTATCGTGGGGAACAAAAGTTTCGCATGCGAATTTTAATACTATTTTGAACTTTAAAACTCACGTAGGTATTCAGAGCTTTTGATAGGTATTAAGTACTAGAGTTGGTTAAGTTTAGATGGTTTGGTTTTCACACACAATTTTGTTGTGTTTTGCTGAATCTAGTTTATTGTACAAAAGCAGCTTACATGGATATCATGGCACATGTCACCGTATTGACTTGCGGCTGTCACACACAATGGCTGTCATGGCCGAGGGGCCCAGTTGCAGAAGTCCCTAAGTCCAATATCATGACAGTTGAATTCTGAACTCTATCTTTATTAAATACGATTGTATATGTTACAGGCAAAACCCTTAACCAGTCATTAACGTTAATGACTGGCAAAACCAGTCAATAACGTTATTGCCTAAGGGACTAAGTCAAAACCCTTATTGACTGGTTTTATCTATTAAAAGCAGTCAATAACGATATTGACTGACGTGCCCAGTCAAAACCCTTAATAGGTACGTCCGCCCCAGTGGCAGCAACCTAGACCTGGCTGGCAGGTCTGAGATCACCATCAAGACCGTTAAATGGTCGCAGTCAGAGTGGAAGTCTACTGTCTCGCTTGCCGGTTGTCAGCAGGTACTTGGTTTCACCTCCCAGGTGTCATAGATCTCACGGCGGTGGCTAATAAGCTCTGGCCCAGTGCAGTCGGCAAGTGAGGCAGTTGGCTTTCCATCATAGGCGACTACCTAACGATACGGATGGTTATCTTAGACCAGTCAGCCAGGACAGATCTCCCGGTGGGTAAGCAAAAGAGTAGACTTCCACTCTGACTGCCTCCATCTTCTATAATATTTTATACGATGCATTTCGGTGAGTGTGCTCAATCGTAGTCTCGTCACTCGTCTTAACACCAACTGCGACGCGTAGCATCAGCGAATGGTCCTCTACGGCGTAGCATATGCTATTACACCCACTACGACGAATTGGATCAGGGAAAGGCCCTCACGGCGTAGCAAATGCTACAATTCTCTCTACAAGGCGTAGTATAAGCGAATGGTTTTCACGGCGTAGCCAATGCTACAACTCCCACTACGCCGCGTAGGATCAGAGAATGTTCCTCTACGACGTAGCAAATGCTACAACTCCCACTAAGACGCGTAGGATCCTACCGCTACGTGGTTAACTAACCCCCTACGACGGAGGAACCACACATGTTTCATCTACGACGTAGCACATGCTACACCATTTTCTATTTTCCCGCTACGATGGATGAAACTAACTTTACAGTGCTCTACGGCGTAGCATAAGCTGAAGAGGTAACGATTTTATATTACTGTGGAAGTAGTTATTTAGGGCGTAGCATATGCTACAACGTTAGGCATAAAGGGCGCCACACACCGGGCCCATATGCGTGATGTGCACGTCACCACCTGCGTAGAAATGACATTGTATGTGGGTTCGATTCCCATCAGACACAAATATTTGTAAAGTCAATTTTCAGAGGTCATCATTAGTGAAGAGCCGTCTGCGACTTGGGCATGTCCTTATGGAATGACAACTGGCGAGCGAGACAGTATACTTCCACTCTGGCTGCGACCATCTAACGGTCCTGATGGTGATCTTAGACCTGACAGCTAGGTCTAGGTTGCTGCCGCCAAGGCTGATGTACCTATTAAGGGTTTTGACTGGGCACGTCAGTCGATATCGTTATTGACTAGTCAATAAGGGTTTTGACTAGTCAGTAAGGGTTTTGACTGAGGCTCTTAGGCAATATCGTTATTGACTGTTTTATTCAGTCAATAACGTTAATGACTGGTTAAGGGTTTTGCCTGTAACATATAAACAAAATTTGTTAAAACAAAAATAAGACTTAGGTACTTTCACAACTGTGCCCTTTGTCGGGGGCAGAGGTGAATGAGACAATGCTGATATCTGGATACCTACTAGGAACTAATCAATGCAGTGTCAATAATGGTAAACTTTGCAGGTTTTCTCAAGTGCCGTGTAGATGGCGCTGAGCTAATTCGAAATAAAGTTTCTTTACATGGAAAGTCTGTACCCGTCTATAAATTATTTTGTGTTTATTCAATCTTACTGATCAATAGCAGCTAGACCTAGACGACTTTATTTCGTTACATTTCAAATGAAAAGTAGGTAACTAATTAGTTACGAACACAGCATGAAATGGAACCTAACACACATATTCACCCATGTCTTTCATTAATTTGTATGCTTTTGTTAAAAAAGTACTTTGATCACTCCTAAGTATTTGAGTTCTATGAAAGGTTTTTTTTATTGGGGATACTATTTTATTCAATAAACTCAATCAAATATCAAAACAATGCTAGACTAGATATACTATGTAAGTAAAATAAATAAATACTAAATTACCTTAACTTAACAAGATTAGGAAGAAGTCGTCCAGGGCGCCCCATGAGACATGGTCCCCAATAGACTGAGGTTAGTTTCTTGGAATCAACATTTTCTAACGTAGGGATTTGCACGCTCGTGTAGTTTTGTTTGTGTAATATTTTGTCGTTGTGTGTATAAATTTATTGATACGTAAACAGTTGGCAAACACTGTGGCGGCTCTGGTACTGCGACTACAACTGCCAACTGTGCAAAGAATCTGGGTTCTGATTGTACTTACATGTTAATAGCTTAACAATTTTTGGAAAACTTGCGAAATTTTCACCGCAGACAGGATTTCAACCTGCGACTTCCAGCATCAGTACTGCCGACGCCTCTATCAACTGGGCTACCGCGGCTCAATCGTAGCCTACGAAATAATGCAATATATTTGAGCCAATAACGCTTGATAGGGCTCCATCTACTGGGATAATTTTGCAACTAATTCCCAAAGCAATATGAGAATTCGAGTGAGGGCTATGAGTGTGTTTGTTGATCGTTAAGCTGCTGTGTTTTTTTCGGCTTAGGTTCTTCTTAAAAAGTGACTGGAACCGTAAAGAGAATGGGCAGTAGTATGTGCATGCAACACCTTGCATTATGCTCGCCATTTTACCTGTTCTACCTTCACTCTTTCTTATTAAAGTACAGTCACCTACAGAGTTATCTGACCCCATGTCTCCGACTACGGCGATCACGTAAATCTGCTGATGACTGTACCTCTCAATTGTTACACTTTTCTTCAGCAAAATATCTCCCGATACAGACTAGGTAGTCCATTTGTTAGAATTACTTTCAACTCGAGTTCTTAAGACAAACTACTTAATTAGACTAAGTACAGTTCGTACAATTAACTAATTTACTTTAGATACTTGCTCGAACGTAGGAACAAAAGAAATTCTGCCTTTTGCCCGAGCAGGAATAATTAAGTAAAAATAACAAAATTGAAAAAGTTTCTAATTGTGTTTAGAAAATTGGCCCTGAAAGACATTTCGTTGTAAGTTTGTTAAGAAAATAGTAAAAGTAATTAGAAGGTGAATCCAGGAATTACTTCAAAAATGTTTTTAATAACTTGTCCTCGGGGAATTATTTTATGAATCTGTAATTTATTATAATTAACAAGTACAATTTGATGTTCATCAAAATGTACATTTAGCCATTATATTAACGGTACGATTAAGATAACAGAATATTATGAATTGTACTGGAATATTGAATATTGTATTTTTCCAAAACCTTGGATATTTTTAGAATAAAGCATAGCTGGAGCTAGGTAGTATTTTGTTCTATAAAGTGAGGTACAGACTAAACATCACTTTGTACGTTATTTTGCGCAACGCTATCGTAGGTATGCGTTCGGAAAATGCGATATTCCACGCTATTTTCATACATATACGATTTATGTCAAACGGTTTGACAGACGTATCCACTAGCGCTGCGAATCGCACAACACTGCGTCGAAGGATGCAAAGTATGCCGAAGTATTTAGGTCGTTTGTTTCCGCGTATATTGTATTTCTATGTACTTACCTAAGGCTAGGTTAGCCTGTTCAATCAGCCTTACCGCAATTTTATTGCTTAATAGACAAAATATTGTGGTCAACAATTTAAAAACCCAATTTGTGGCAAGCACCACCTTGCATGTCTTGTGTCCTCATAAAAGGATGTTACAATCATAATTAACCCGACTTCATTTAGGTAGTGAACTGGTTAAAACTAGTTTTGTTATTACTGGAATTACTCAAACTTTAGCTGCTGGTGTAGTATAAACAAATGTTGGCTATTACAGCTAACGATGTAATTTTCTGTTAGCGAGCCTCTCTGTAAGAGCTAGCGCACATCCGTATTTCAGTAGTATTTTGAATATGAACTGTATAGTGACTGAAATAAAGTTGATATTGGCAACGATTCGAGAAAATAATTTTCTTAACCTAACTTGAAAAAAAAAAAATAGGTTTATTGTTTTTATTTAACCTATTTTGATAGATAACGCGCATATTGCGTTAAATAATTTTAGTCACGATCATCTTCTATTATTTTAAACCATTCATAACAATCTTTATAAGAACATAGATTTTCACATGAGAGAAATACGCAGTGTGATGCCGACTATGCCGTGTGATGCCGGCTTAGAATAGCATCACCTTAATTCTACCCGTGGGTGTCGTAAAAAGTGACTAAGGGATAATCATCCAGGGATTGGGCAGCAGCGTTCCCTGGCAATGCAACATCTTGCACTGCGTTCGCCAATCGACCTGCCAAGCGTGGTGAGTACCTATATCAATACCTCTCGATAGGGGGAGGACCATGTGCAGCAGTGGACTTGTGGCTGTTATGGTAGTTAAAAATAATGACTTTCTTTGATTGTGTCTGTTCCATCACGTTAGGTAAATACAGGATATAAGAGACATCTCTTCGATGACTGATATGGTGCATTCAGACGAAGAAAATGGACAACTTTCCATAAGAAAAATCAGGAGACTAAAAATTTGCCCTTCCGTACAAAGTCATGATCTGCTGACTCTAAAAACTAAAATTGTTTTTTTATCGTCTCATGAAAAGATTTCCTACTGAAATAGTGAATGCACCCATTACAGTATTTGAAGAGCTGTTCCTTAAACCCGGTATTTTTTAACACCTTGGATTTGGTAGGGCTATAATTGGTTAAGTTTAGTTCCAAAAATTTGAAGGGTAGTTGAAAATAATAACAACTGAAACTTTTCATTGTATTTTATTAAAATTTTTAGTCTGTATTTTCAGTAGTAAGTATTTATTATGAAGTCCCTTACAGACTGTACCGATATTTTAGCTATAAATACACTAACATGGTAACAAAATTTGTGCATTTTGGATTTTAATAACATTTAAACAATTTAATTTTTAAACACATGAATAATTAACAATTCTTTAACAAAATTTCTAATTTGGACAAATTAAATATTGTGACGTAAAATAAGATATCCTATAAAAAATCAATTTATTTTGTCCATCCCGATGATAATCTTGGACGGTTCACATGTAAATATGAAAACTCAATAAAATTCATTTTATGTTAAACTCACAAAAATCAGAACTGCAAACAAATATGGCAGTTTATTGCTTGAAAAATAATAATAATAATGTTCAGTCATATCATGGATCAAACAGGAAATAATAAGGTCCCTAACTACGAAACACTAACAGTGTAGGATTTATACAACCTGTTATACCGTTGTCTAACACTATTTACATATTTACATAAACTATTGGTCCGTCTATGTTAGAAATTAATTAAAGTTTAAAATATCATAATATTTGTTTGACGTTGTATCATAATATTGTTTTGACGTGTTTTGAAAATATGGCATGGCTTGTCAAGTTTAGTTTGAGACTTAACTTTGGTGACAAGAGACAAGACGTGAATCTTGTCGAGGCTATAGTACGGTCAGTTTTGAGCAAAAGTGCTCTAGAAACGGATTTTTATTTGTAATTCCTCTAAATACTTACGATTGGTATCGTTGGATTCCTTGTGATGTCCACAACACGGAACTGTCGGTCGTAGAGTGCAAAAGTGGGGATAGAGGGTGGGGATCAAAGATGGCGGAAAAGCAATTTGGTTTTTACGCTATAACTCGACATATACTGAACCAATTTTAAAAATAATAGTTGCGTTTTAAAGGCAATAAACTGTTGTATGTTTCGTCCATAGACATATAATACTTGTTCATTATAGTTTATGAGTTATCTTCTTAATTAAAGCCTTGCAGTAAATACTCTAGTTTTTAAGTACGGATTGTTCGAAAACTAGTAGCTTTTCGAAAAAAATTGTCGAGTAATAAATTATAGAATGGACATTCAGCTATTTAAAAATGTAAGTATAATTAAACTGGACCCTCAAACCACTAAGATATACCTATTCGCGTCAACCGAGTGGTGTAGTCGCGTACAGGTGCGCTTGCTATTGACGATGCTGTTATTTATTAAATTTTTGTTTTATGTTTAAAAGTAGTCAAAACATGCCAAGTTTGAGGTTCAGTAGGTACAAAACGGCTGACATAAAGTTTGTTTCGAAATTCCTTTCCTGACGTTAGTTTTAAGGATATGGTGGATCATTTGGCATACTTTTAACAAACTTTATGTCAGCCGTTTTGTACCTACTGGACCTCAAACTTGGCATGTTTTGACTACTTTTGAAAATGTAACTTGATTTTTTTCTAAAAGGGCAACTGTCATGTATTACAACGATATATTTTTGAAATCGTCTCGTGTAGCGCTTTCATTTGATACCCCACACGATGGTCTCCAGAAGTTTTTTTTTTAGTGCCATACAAAAAAACGAATGTCCCCCTCCCACCCTCTATCCCCACTTTTGCACTCTACGACCGACAGTTCCGTGTTGTAGACATCACAAGGAATCCAACGATACCAATCGTAGGTATTTAGAGGAATTACAAATGAAAATGTTCATAGTAGTTTGAAGGCAAACCGTACTACTAATAGATTTTTCAATTTCAAGAGAAAAACTCAACGCATTTTCATATACAAAACAAAATGAAATAACTCACTGCACACTGCATGGTAATTTGTCTTTTTGATCTTAGCCTCGATATAGCCTGAACTCCTAATGTAGGTTTTCGGCATATTTCCACAAGTGACTAGAAACAGAAACAAAAGTCATAAGAATCATTATTATTTATTACATTTACTATACCCATAATGAAAACGAACCATTTTAAGGTCTTCCTAAAAACAGGAAACAATTTTATTGCTTCACGATAAAATTTATGAGGCGATCAACAAATTGGTGTTCTATGAAGTTCGCTTTTTTCTTCCCTTATCAGACAAGTACTTAATTTTAGTAGCCGCAATGTCTCCAAGGGTCACAAATTAGGGGCACGCACCGTTACAATATAACTCAATTTAAAACATTTTCGTTCTATTTCAAGGTACCTTAATACAATTAAAGCCTTTTAAAAACAAATTTAATTCTTCAATCACATTTAAATTGGGAAAAACGGAAAGGAATAAATTATAAATGAATTCCGAAAAGAGAATTGGGATAAAAATTAATAGCAGTACCTTTAAAATTACTGCGACATTTTTATCTAAAGGATGGATATGCGACCGAGCTACAGAACTATTTACAATTCACTTATTACAGAAGTTTATGTACAATCATGTACACCGAAAATTACATAATTCAAATATATCGTCCGCTAGAATGAAAATTCTTAAACACTTTCACTGTTTTCAAGATATGATTTTCACTGTTAGTCTTAATTTTATCACTTCACTAGAAGTCAATAAAGTACCTTCTCAATTTCAAGTGGCACAGATATTAAAGTCCTGTCTTTGATAATTACACTTAGTCTACTCGAAAATCA